CACCATCCGCCAGCACCCGCTGCCTCCTGCCCCTCTCACTGGGCCTGTTCCAGGCTGCCCTGCTGTTCTTCTTCGCCCTCTTCATCACCTATGACGAGCACTCAGCTGCACCCACAAACTCAGAGGACGCCGAGCATGCAGCCAAGCAGCTCCACAGCACCTTCCCCTTCTTCCAGGACATCCAGGTGATGCTGGTGGTGGGGCTGGGGCTGTTGCTGGCTTTCCTGCCCCGCTACGGGCTGAGCGCATTGACCCACAACTTTCTCCTGCTTAATGTGTCAGCACAGTGGGCACTGGTGCTGCAGGGTCTGCTGCACCGCCTGCACCATGGCAAAGCACTTCTGGGGCTCCACAGCATGCTCAGTGCTGAGTTTGCTGCTGTCACTGTGCTCATCTCAGCGGGAGCCGTGCTGGGCAGGACGAGTCCCTGCCAACTGCTGACCATGGCCCTCTGCGAGGTGCCCATCTACCTGGCCAGTGAGTGGCTCATCATCACCCGGCTGGGTGTCCTCGATGTGGGTGGCACCATCACCATCCACATCTTCTCCTGCTACTTTGGCCTTGGCGTGTCCAAAGTGCTGTTTGGGAATGCAAAGCCAACGGTGCACCCTAAAGAGACCCCAACGCCGCGCTCCGACCTCCTGGCCCTGCTTGGAGCGCTCATCCTCTGGGTGTTCTGGCCCAGCTTCGTGGCTGTGCTGTGCCAACCAGGGGATGCCCAGCACCGTGCCATCCTGCACACCCTCCTGGCGTTGAGTGCCAGTGTCATCACCACTGTGCTGATCTCCATCCTGCTGGAGAGTGACAGCAAGCTGACCGCGGGTCACCTGCAGAATGGCAGCCTGGCGGGCGGCGTGGCCATCGGTGCAGTGGCCGACATGCATATCACTCCAGCAGCAGCCCTGGCACTGGGCAGTCTCTCCTCACTGCTGTGCATTCTCGGCTTCCAGTTCCTCACCCCAATCCTGGCAAAGAAGCTGGCGCTGCAGGACCGCTGTGGGATCCACAACCTGCATGGCTTGCCCGGCATCCTCGGCGCGGTGGCCAGTATTGTGGCTGCTCTGCTGGCCCCTGGGGATGGCAGCGAGGCAGCAAGGCACAGGCAGGCACAGTGGCAAGCAGCTGGGCTGATGGTGGCCCTCGGTGGCTCGCTGCTCGCCGGTATGCTGGTGGGTGCTGCACTGCGCCTGCCCTGCCTGGCCCCACCGCCTGAAACACTGTGCTTTGAGGATGCACTCTACTTTAAGCTCCAGGAGCGGGCAGAGAGCCCCCGAGCACTGGGCAGCAGCACTGAGGTAGACTCCCTGGCCATGAAGGAGTGCGTGTAGGCACCAAATGTGGGACGTTCTACGGCATTTCCAGCAGGGGCTCATGCTGAATGCACAGCTCTGGCTGATGAGGATTGCAGCACCCTTCTGCCCACAGCCACCTGAAGGCTGCAAACCTCTGCCCCCATGCAGCACCAGGAGTTGAGCGCACATCCCTGTGGATCCACAGTCCCATGGATCAGGCTTTGTGTCTCTGGATGTCTCTTCCCTACCTGCCAACACAGGACAGCAAATATCCCAATGCTTCCCAGGGCTTCCCCACCGCATCACTGCTGGAGCAGCATCGTGGATGAGATGGCCACAAGCGATGGATTTTTAGAGGGATTTCGTAAGCTACAGTGTCCTGGATAACCCAAACCCAACCAGGGCTCCCAGGATAAATTGCACAGGGAGCTGCATCCCTTTCTGGCCAGCAATGCCCGGATTGGTGCTCAGACAGAGCCAGGTTGCAGAAAGGACCCCTCAACCCATGGAACTTTCTCCACACCCCGACAGCAGGGTTGGGAGAGCAGAAGGCAGGGCAGGGGCCCCTGCAGGAAGAGCAGCAGCCCCATCACACGCAGCCCGGCCCCACTGCCACCCCACTGAGGACAAAGGCTGTGGTCCCTTGACGGCAGGCGGCACGGGGCCTCATCCTGCCTGGGAAAGGTTGTGATTCACAGCCCTCTCTCCATCTCCATGAGTCACTGCACTCTGCACTCCTGCTCCATCACTGCCACAGAGACCACGTCAAAGGCTCCCAAAGGGGGTAAAGGCAGTGAAAAGCCCCCCCAGTGCCTGCTGCAGGGATGGGAGCTCTGGGCACATAGGGACCCCACTCTGAGCCCCGCAGCTTGGGGCTGCATCCCCACTGCCTCGCATGGCCCCAGGCAGAGCCAACACCAAGAGCGAAGCTGGGGAATTCGCCCTTCAATAATCACAACCAGGCTCGGCAGCCCGGGCGGGTTTGGTTAATTGTTAGAATAAAATATTGTTCAGTTCTGACAAAGGAATCCTGCCCCGCAGCCCGGCGCGGCAGAACAATGGGCCCCGGCGGAGGGTGCTGTGGGCTGAGCAGTGGGGATGGGGCCTGAGCACAGCCACAGTGCCCCAACAGAACCAGTATGGCCTCATGGAGGTGTGCGTGGTGTGGACACGGAGCAGAGCCTGCTCCCTTCCTGCCATTCAGCCCACATCACACATCAAGGGCTGCTGGAGCCTGTGCTGCCCCACGGAGCTGTGATGCCATCAGGGTCTGGAATCGCTGCTGCTCCGACTGAGCCCAGCATCCTGCTTTGCTGACATCCTGCTGCATGGTTGCAGCTCCAGCAGGGACATGGAGGAGGGTGCATGGGGCCGGTAGCTCCAGAGGGTGCTGCTACTGCCTTGGGAAACTGCTATACGAGAATCACATGCACACATGTGCATGCACATATTCATATCCACGTGTACACATACATGTCCACACGCAGCCCCAAAGCTACAGCCCCTGTGCTCATCACATACAGCAGGATGGTGGTGCTCAGCACAGGCCCCTCTCTGCTCCCTTTTGGAGTTTGCACGCTTTACCCACTCAGCCTTTTTGCAAACGCTCCCCTCAGCTCTGAGCTATTTCCCAGCACCCCCAGCCCATCTCAGCAGGGCTGCACCTCCTGCAGAGCACCCAGCACCACAGGCACTGCTCCACCAGCAAAGCCAGGCCGCATCCAGCACCCATGGGGCCACGCAGCATGCTGGGAAGAGGGCAATGAGGGCACCCAGAGCCATGCCCACAGCTTGGTGGCATGTCCCAGCACGGGCCCAATCTGGTCGACAGATGCCTTCCAAAGCAGCAACAGCCTGGGAAGCTATGGGGGGGCTGCCCTTCCCCACTGCGGGACCCAGGGGTTTGTGTTCACTGTTCCCAGCACGGTGCTCCTTTGGGGGCTGACACCCCCAGCTCAGTGCCCACCCACAGTGTCCATATGGGATCAGGGCTCTTGGAGCTGCTATTCCATAGCCAGGGGTGCCAGCACCCACCTGGGTCACGGCATGGCTCTGTACGGCCCCACTCTGCTGTCCCCATCCCCTGGGATCCGCTGTCCTGCAGCTGGAGCCAGGCAGAGCTGCTGCTGCTGGGTGTGCCCAAGCCCAGCTCTCCTCCACCACCGCCTCCCTCCAAAGGATGAAGCAGTAAAATATTAACCAGAGCCCCTAGCGTTTATCACACCGTAAATCTGGGCTTTCAACAGCTTTACGATGCTGCAGGGAGATGGGAAGAGAACAAAACGCTCTTCTTCTTTGTCAGACACAGGCTGCGTGTGCCAGTGCCCCCAGCGCTCACTCCGTGCCCATATGGGGCTGACAGCCCCATCTCCGGCCCCATATCCCCCGCCCCACGAGTACCGCAGCTGAGCAACAGGGCAGGGCGTACGGTCCTTGATTGCTGGGGATCGGGGCCGCTGCGTTCCCAGGATGGGGATGGCACCGCTCCATCCCAGCAGCACTTTGCTGGAACGTAGCATTGCAAAAGGGTGAAACGTACCCCCGCTATCAGCTCTGCATTCATGTACCAGCTGGGTGCACTGCCAGCTCCCAGGGTTGGGGCCGCAGCACGCTGAGCTTGGCACAGAGCAGCCGTCCCCACAGCCCCACACACGCTGACCCCACTCCCTGGGGCGCTGATTGCAAAACAAGAGGCGAAGGGAGGAAGCGGTGATTGCGCTGTTTGCAAAGCGCTGGGACGCAGCTGGGAAGCCGATCACCAGCAGGGCATGCACACACCTGTGGGACAGCGTGGCACGTGGCTGCGCAATACAGCAGCTCCTTGCACGCATCCCAACGCGGCGCATCCCAGCGCAACTCAGCCCAGTGCGGCATCTCCTCCCGCACGATGCGTCTCACGTTCTTACCCTTCACACGGCCGCCCTTGAGCGAGGCGGAGGCTGGCGTAGCGCCGACAGGATGCCAAGCGCCTGGCACCGCTCAGGGGCCGGGGGGAGGGCAGGGAGGGCTGCAGGGAGGCAGCGGCTGCTGGAGCCACATCAGAGCAGCCCCCCCAGAGCAGCCGGGAGCGTGCGGTGCTGCCCTCGAAGGAAATGCGCTCACTCCCATGTGCTGCACACTTGGGCTCGCCTCGCTGCTATTTTTATGTGACTTTTCAGGCCCGTTTCCTTTTTCCGGCTGTTTTGCTGTGATTCCACCGGCGCTTCGACCTCGCTTTTCCCCTCCCTCCCTTCAGCCTCTTCCTTCACTCTTTCCTTCCTTTCCATGCACTCATTCCTGCCGCCGCACCGGGCTCCCCGTGCCCCCGAAGGCAGAGATTGCGGCAAAACCACCGGCGCTGCAAACGCTTTGTGCAGGCGGTGCCGCCCCGGTGTCACCTCCCTCCATCACCCCAAGGAAAAACAAGCAGCACCGCACGCACCCACCCCACCTCACTCCGCTTCTTCCAGCAGCAGGGGCCGTGCACCCCGAAGGGCGATCCCGAAGGTTGGACCCCCATCTTGCTTCCCTCCCCCCAGCACACGCACACAGCGGCGCCGTGCCGGCTCACAGCCCGCTGCTGCCACCTCGCGTCCCGTATCGCCGTCCCCATAGGCAGAGCACTGAGGGGGAAGAGAAGGATTGGGGAAGCTGAATCAGTGAGCACAGCTTCACCACAGTGAGGCCGGGGAGCCCCCACCCACCCCAAAGCTCGGGGCTGCAGAGCCAGGAGAGAATTTATTTCTGGTCTCGCACAGCCCATACTCCAACCAAGGGATGGGGCACAGCCTTTAGGGCTGCACTTCCCCTAAGGGTTCCTCCCAGCTGTGCTCACACTGACCCTCCATTCCCCAGATGTTTATCCCACTGCACCCCCCAGGTCCCCATCACACAGCCAGGGACCCAGGGCAGCTCTCCCAGTCCCAGAGCCACACTCACTAGGGATGCACATCCTTCTGCCCACGGATACACAGCACTCCGGTGCCAGCAGAACTCTCAGCCCAGTGGCTCACATTGTCCTCTTTCTGCCCAGGAAAGCAGCTGGTGTCCTCACAGGGCAGCAGGGGGAGGGGATGCAGGGTGAGGAGCAGCACAGAAATCACTGCATCTCAGTTTTCTGCACTTCATCCCTTCTTCCCCAGGTTTCGGGTTGTGCCCCACATGTGGTCCATGGGTACCATATGGGCCAGGAGGGCCAACCTGGGCACCTGCCCGTATCTGCTGAGCCAGCTGTGGGATTCGATTCACCTCAGGGTTCGATGCAGGATGCCAGCAGCCATGAACCCAGATGGAGGATGAGGTGTTGGGGTGTCCCCTATGAGTCCCGGGGGGCCGCGTGCAACACGTTGAGCTTCTCCCAGCACGTGGCCAGCCTCTGTGCCTTCCGTGAGATCTCCTTCAGCTGCTGCCTCCTGCGCTGTGGCTGCTGTGAGGGGCGCGGGGGGCTCTGTTGGGGGTGAGAGAATCAGGCATAGGGACAGCAGCCACCAACATATCACCCAATGCCAGGGGAAGATGCTGGCCTCACACACACACTGTGGGATGCAGGATAGGGTGCCCGAACCACACGCAGACACAGCAAGAATGAGGCCTACGGAGAGCTCAGGGGTGCAGCAGAGCAAAGCATCTCTGCAGCACCCACCCAATGGCACATCCCCCATGCAGGGCAACCGGTGGCTTCCCTGTACCATGCTGATATGCACCCAGCATTAACCCTGCAGGGTTGCAGCAGGGATGTGACTCCAGCACTTCGCCAGGCAGAGCTGGGAGCACCCTGGTGCTTCCCCGCTGGTTAATGAGTTCTTTGTGGTAGGGGATTCTACCCTGCTGGGGCTTCCCCAGCAGATCCCTGGGGATGCCCAGATTGATGTTTTGTGTCCAAACCACAGGTTTTGCCCATGAGCACAGGACTGAAGCACCCACCCATCAGGACCGTTTGCTGGGTGCAGCCTCCAGCCCAGGGCTGGGCAGATGGAAGCCCTTAGGGTTGTGCCCCCAGCATAAACCCAGAGCAGCTCTTCACCCTTAGGGATGCTGCAGGGAGAACCTAGAGATTCCCCACGCACAAGGTGGCAAACTGGGAGCTGTAGGGTGATGGGGAAGGGGTGATGCTCTCACCTTGCCAATACGCCGGCAATTCTCCCTGAGCACAAACTCCGTGTCCCGGACCACCTTCCACACTGCTGCCTCCTCAGGGCCCCGCAGAGCACCGCCCGCCACGTCCCGCAGAGACATGCTGATGTTGTAGATGGACTGCAGGATCCTCTGGTCCTGGGAGGGAGAAAGGAGAGCAGGCAGGAATGGGGCTCGATGGCTCAGCCCATGATGTGCCCATGATGTGCATCCTCACCTTGTCAGAGCGGCACACTGGCCCAGCCCGACTGCTCCTCTCTGCCGACCCACTCAGGTTTTTCTGCAGAAAAAAAGCAAGGACTGCATCAGGCACCATGAAGCACTACTGCATTCCACGTGGGGCAGGAGTCCTGCATCGAAGCACAGCACCCTCCCCACCAACCTGCAGCGCGCACAACCCCGCGTTATGCTTAATGTCCCCTTCCAACCCAAACAGTTCTATGATCCCCCTCTCCCCACTCACCAGGTTCTGGATCTCGTGGAAGATGACAGCTCGGTACTGCCGCAGGATCCTGGCGATGCTGCACCTCCAGCCCCTGCCCAGCACGGTGGCGAGCAGCAGCAGCAGCACAGCACAGGAGAGAGCCCTGGGGAGAAGCTGTGCAGGGAAGGGCTCAGCATCAGCCACGGGAAAGCTCGGGGACTCCAAGCAGAGTTATCCCCTCTTTTACAAACGCAGCATGCAGGAGGGAGAGCAACAACATCCTCCCTGCAAAGCCATCGCCTCCTGCAGCAATCGCTCTGCTTTCAGCCCTCTTCATGACCCCACTGCAGTGCACACAGCACAGAGATGCAGGAGCTCTGTGCATCCATAGGTCCTGCCTGCACGCTCACCACCCCAGCACAGTCCCCCCTCCCAGCACCCCAAGGCCAATGGGAACTGAAAGGGACATGCCCTAAGGCAGAGTGGGGCTGCAGCTTCCCCACCAACAAACCTCCGCAGCTCAAAGCAAACAGCTCCAGGCTGTTTGGAAAGATGCTCCCCATCATTCCACAAAGCCCAGAGCAGCCTCACCGCTCAACAGCCTTCCCAGCAGAGCGGGGAAACCCAAATGCTGACATCTGAGCTCACTGGGAACCGTGCACACGGACACTCTGCGGGATGAGCTCAGGTTCTTTGAAGGAAAATTGAAGGAAAGCCAGCGCAGCCTCAAATGACCGGGACCAGGGATATTTGAGCAGCAGGGTGAGGATGGGAAGCGCCCTGCACGCTCAGCATCTGCCATGAAAGAATGTTGGTGGCCCTGCTCCCCTGTGCAGCAACAGCGGCACCACTATGGGATGGCACAGTGCTTGGGGCCCATCCTGGCAGCGGGCATTGCTGCCTGCTCCTGTCTGCAGTGAAAACCCCCACCGGTCCCAGCTTTTCTCCAGCTCCCAGTGTCAGGTCTGGGCAGGCACAGAGCAGCTCAGCACCCTTCAAAACGCAGCCCCTGCGCTGCAGCCAAAGCACACGTGACAGGGAGGGTTCCATCTGCAGCTCAGGGCTTGGGCTTCCCCTCTGCTTTCTGAATCTCTGCACCAGGTGCTACTCAATGAAGAAACCTTCCAGGTTTCCACTCCTGAAACCTATATCTGCTTCATGCTACCCCCAGGACAGCATGCTGCTCCTGGCTCCAAAGGCTGAAAGAGCCCATCCTACCCCAACACCCTCAAAGCTCAGCAGGAGCAAGGGAAGAACAGCGCGATGCAACGTGCAAACCCAGCATGGTGCAAGGCTGCAAACCTACAGACAGCAATGCACAGAACCCAGGGTGTAACTCCCCAAAGGAGAATGCTGCTTCCATGAGGTCGGCCTGTCCAAAGTCCAAAGCTGCTCTCAGGAAGCATCTGCAGCCAGGAAGACAAGGCCACGTAATTTTGCTCAAACCATTAAGCCAGCAATGACTTCCCTGAAGTGCCTTATTAAACAACTGGGACCAAATTCCAGGAGAAAGCACAGCATTTACAGCATTTCCAGGCAGCCCAGCCTGGCATGGGGGGTTCCAAGAGCTCGGCAAGCAGCAGGACAGGAACCGAGAGACCTCTATGGGTGCTTCCCACTGCCCACACAGCACAAAGCATGCTGCTTCCCTCCCTTCTTCACGGGAAAACACGTCTGACTGCTGCTCTGTGGTTATCCCTCCTCCCTTCAGTGCCAGGAGGGCCAGCACTGCCCGCACACTGGGCTACTCTCAGGCTTGCTCCCTTCCCGCAGGAGGAAAACGCAGGGAGTATGGCTGCGGGACAGAGCTAATCTCTTCCCCAGCTCTAATCCTCCAACAAATACACAGAGATAAGGGAAATCACCATCAGTGATACAGCAGCTCGGGGCGGCACTCGCGCTACCCTCGGCTGCACAAAGGCACAACACTCCTTTCCAGCCCCGGGGGTCCCCGTCCCATCCTCTCCGAAGGGCCCCTCGCAGGACCAGCCCTACGTCCAGCCCCCCAGGTCCAAGCCGCAGCCCAGCCCCGGCCGGACCGGCCCTCCCCACCAGCTCCACGCCCTCCCGGCCAGTCCAGCCCCGAGCTCCATCCCGAGCAGACCCTTACAGCAGGACCTTACAGCCCCATCCCAACCAGTCCAAGCCCCCTCCCTAATCCAGCACAACCCCATCCTTAAGAGTTCCCCTCCAATCGCACCGACCCCTATTCCCAGCTGCTCCAAACCCTATCCCAACCATACCCCCCCCAATTCCCAAACCTCATCCCAATCGCTTTGAACCCCATCCCATCCCATCCCCTTCTGCCCCAAATCCCAGCAGCAGCGAGGTTCCAGCCCATCTCCCCTCGAAGCACCGCACTCACCATGGAGCCCCGCAGGCGTTGGGGGCCCCCAGGTTGGCCCCACGTCGCGTCCCGCTCCGCCAGGGCTGGCGGTTTGAACTTGGCTCCACGCACGGGGCTGCGGTGGGAGGGGACGGGCCCGGCCCCGTGCAGCGGGGGGAGCGTCGCGGCCACAGCACCGCCGGCCCAGCCCCGGGCTCCCCGCTGCACCCAACCCGCAGCACGCAGACCCCAGCGTAACACAACGGTGGGAAGCCGGGGAAAGAAAGGAGACGTCCCCGGGCTGAAGGCAGAGCCGCGGGCTGCTCGCACCAAGAGATCACGTCTGCGAGGTCAGGGTACGGGAGGCTGCTCTGCCCTGAAAGGCCCCGAGAAGGTGAGTGGGGAAGGGTGGTGTGGTTTCACAACCACGGATGCTGGAAGCGACACAGGTGCATCCAACACGACTGAGCTGAGGCTGCTCCTCCGTGCTGTGACAATGCCAGAGCCTGGGGACATGCAGCACCATGAGTGCTGGTTGCTTTAATCATTCCAAATTCACAGCCAGAAGCACTAGGAGCCTTGGTTAGCACTTCTAGCTGTGAAGGGCAGGGTGCCTCCCGACAGCCCGGGACATGGCTGCAACACCCACACGCACCATGATGCTGTTACAGTGAGCAAAACGCCCTGCTGCTCCCCCCTCCGCAGTCTGAGCAGGGGACATCAATGCCAGCACATGAATCCGGGCTCAGAAAACTCTGCCCTGACTCCAGGGTTTCAATTGCTTTCACGCAGGAGGCGATGAAAGTCACCGACACACAACGCTGCACTGGGGTGAGATAAAGCAAAGAGCTGAACAGTCCGACTTCTCAGCTTGGCACGTGGGAGCAGGAGCCATCCGAACAGGAAAATGTTCCACCACGCAAAGTGGGAATACACAAGAACATACCATTGCAGACAGGACCCATATAACTTGTTTATTGAGCTCTATATATAGTTAAATTTCGTAGGTGCCATAATCTGCTTAAAAACACAGAGACATCTACGAACATTGAAGGGCTCTGAGATGGATGATCCCATTTATCTGTGAAACAAAAGAGAACATAAAGGCCCTGGACACCAGATGCAGTGAGCAGGCTGGGTGAGGGGAGCGTGGTGCCCATGAGGAGGATGCAGCCCAGCCCTGGCTGCAGGACACTCGCAGTCAAACCCTTGGAGATGATGCTGACACCTGAGAGGCAGGGAAAGCCACTGACCCTGCCCTGAACCACACGGCTTGGGTGAGATGCTCCAAACACTCCCACAGCTCAGGAGTTTCTCCAGCACAAAGAGCCATGTCACTGTGGTTCAAACCATCCCAACCCTGCAGCCACCAGGGCTGTTCCAGAGCCCTGTCTGTCCCAGCCTCCTTCCTTTCCCACAACCCATCCTCTCCTTTCCACAATCCATGTCCTCACCCTGCTCCCCAGCCTCCTCCTGCTTCACCTTCCCATAAACCCACATCATAGGGCATCCTAAGCAAGTCTCTCAGCACATCCACAATCACCCCCAGCAGATACATTCCCAGAACAGAGAGAGCCTGGTAAGCTGGAAGGTTCCCACTATCACACCCACTCTTCCCAGTCAGAGCACAAGGGCAAGACCATTCCAAGAGAACATAAGGAAACAAAGCACAAGCTGTATTTTATACATATTTTCCAGCTAAAACCTTTGATAAGGTTTTTTTTTTTCCTCCAGCTAAATACATTATATGACACACATACACAGACCCAAATACTTTTCATGTATCTAACTTCAATGAATGATCACAAGACAGTTAGGTTCATTAGGTCAAAAATAATACAGATTCCAAGCATAGAAAATTGAAGACAGCTTATAAAGGGTCCCAAGAACACCAAAGCTCTCCTTCCAAAACATCCACTTCCTGCCCTCTGCATCTGAAGGTGGTCATCCAAAACATGCACAGTGAAAAAGCAGTTGGCACTGTAAAAGTGCACCTTGTCCCAAAGGCTTTAATGAAATCTTATTCCTTTAAAGGGATTTCAAGGATTGCTGGATTTTGCCTCATTACTTTAAAATATGACTGTGCTTAATGAAATTGGGCATCTACAAGAATAAGGTTATACTATGTACATTTAAAAAAAAAGAAGTCTCTAAAAGTACACTCTGGAATTTCACAAAATGCTCCCTCTAGTCAGGTTTGAGGAATACTGAGCTGTGCTGCAGACTGCCAGCAGAGGAGATCAATTAGAAAAAAGGATCACCCCAGCCATCTCCCCCTGCTGCCCAGCTCCACCCCAGCAGAAACCCCCACCTTCTCCAAAAGGATTCAGACAACAGAACAGTTGGGCCACGCACTACCAGTAGTGCACAGAGTAGAGGACAAAGACAGGCACTTCATGCTACAGAGGAATCCAGAGCCACTGCTGAAGATCAGAAGCCACACAAGCAGTAATTAAGGCTTGTATTTAGAAAGGGGATTCAGGTATCAGAAGGAAAGTGCCAATGCAGCCTTACAGAACTGCTCAGCTCCCCTACATTTACACCAGCAGCAACATCCAGAGGAGATTTAGATACACTTGTGCTAATTACTGCATTGTGTGAGCCTAGAGCACTATTGCTGGAACAAGGAGGAGGAACCAGCATTTCTCCTGGAGGAAAGATCTTTCACATTGCCATCTATCTCCTGTCCTCTGAGCTCTGTGCCACTGTAAGGGCAAAAGAACTGAAAGCAGGGAAGCAGACAAGTCCTACAGAGGTGATCAACGTGGCTGAAGCCAGCAAGGTCTAGAAGGTGTTTTTCAGCTTGGCTGCCACAAGCACGAGAATCTCTCCAATCTTCTTCTGCCAGTTCACTATGTCTTTGGAGACATCACACCAAAGCTCTCCGTGGCGGGGTTCAGCGTTCTCACAGCGCTTCCTCACCTCTTCTTGTTGTTCCTACACAGAAGAGAAATGACAAATTTCAAGTCTGTGAATGCTCTGGTTTGTTCCAAAGGGCCAAACATTTCGTAGTCTTCTCCCTAATTTAAACGCTTACCCAAAGCCTTCCCTCACCCCCCACTCCCCACTAAGGTATGGAAGGAAGTTTTAATTCCAACTCAGCAGCAGCAACTCTCCTGCCTTGCTGAACAAATTGGCCTAACTACAGTCAAGCAGGTTTGGGCTACCCGAAAGAAACTGCAGCAGAAATTTCCTTTGTGTCACCGCCCCACAGGTCAAGTGAGAGGTCTTTGTGAAGTCAGAAGATAACACTTCCATCATTTCAGTAATATCAGGCTGTAAAAACTGCCATAGAGATTAGAAGTGTTCCTCCAGCTGTGTCCATGTGCAGCATGTGCTCAACACTTGGCAAGACACAGGACAAGTTGCACAAATCTAGCATCACAACTACAAGAAAAGCCTCCTATGGGAAAGCTTGCATTTTACAGAAGGAAGATTGATTTCATAGGTCTTTGCATGAACTAGCATGACTGTGGATAGCAAAGCAGCCAGGAAGACAGCTCTGCTAATGACAGTGCCTTTTAGAAATCACCACACGTCTGTGCATGCTCACTCATGACCAGATGTGACAGCCTCAGCCTCCTGCCAGCCAGCAGCAGCGTGCTGTGCCCAGCACTGCAACAATTCCCAGTGCTGAGTAACCAACACCAACCAAGGATTCCTGCTGCCTTCCCTGGTTCCCTCTGTTTCCAGGTGCACACTCACCTCTGTGCCATGCTGGAGCTCAAATTTGTAAAAGAAAGCCCAGGCATCTCCCAAGTCAGAATCAATCTTCACTGTTCGGTGGAACCATTCTCGGGCCTTCGTTATTTTACGCTCACTCCAGAATAATCTGTTGGGAAAAGCAAATAAACAAACGTCCTCTTCAGAGGAATACAGCAATCTGCAAGCACTGTGCAGGTATTTCATTTCTTTGTTCTCCCAAGAAGGAAATGCCAGATTCTGTGCTCTCCCAGGGAAGGGAAGAGACATGAGAGGACTGAGCATTTCCACTGCTTCCTCATCACTCTGCTCACTGCCAAAGGAAGAGACAGACACTCCAAAGAAGGCCAGTATTCATTACTTTTTGAGTTCAATCCTTGCTAACTTGACTGTTTATGAGGATGGATAGTGATAGGACAAGGGGGAATGGTTTCAAAGTAAGACTGGGGAGATTTAGGTTAGATATTAGGAGGAAGTTTTTTTTGGTGAAGCGCTGGAACAGGTTGCCCAAGGAGGTTGTGGATGCCCCATCCCTGCAGGCATTCAAGGCCAGGCTGGATGTGGCTCTGGGCAGCCTGGTCTGGTGGCTGGTGACCCTGCACATAGCAGTGGGGTTGAAACAAGATGATCAATCCAGGCCATTCTATGACTCACTGTATGATTCTAACTCATTCATTTAATTTTGCTGTGGGAAGGAATAGGATTATATACATCCACCTATTTTCTCTCTCTTCATTTCTTATTATTTCAAGTTGATTTTAGCATCATAACAATTAACTCCAAGCAGTTGCAAATTGTACATGTGTTAATAAAGCCATCACTGCATACAACCACAAACACTAGGAATGCTCCAGCCTCTCCTGCCATCCCCACCTTACAAGGAAAGACACGTATGCAACACTCCAAGCTCAAACACAACCCTGGCACACAGCCCCAATGGCTGCCATTTCAAAAAGGGCACTTGTGAATCCTGAAATTTCTCCCCAGTAATTAACCAGCTGAGTCAATAGTCTATTGGTTTCATTCCTTTGCACTAAAGAGTTCATTTGAGCTAGTAAGGTCCTTATCAAATCAAACAGCCATCCCTCATAAAGAGCTTAGTCAGCCATAAAATTATACAGCTTATGTGATTGTTTTTAAGCCCTATAATACTCTTGATTGTTCCGTGTTAAATAAACTGTGATTTAAAAGGGCACCAACAATGACAGCAGAGGCTAAACACCTGCAAGTAGTGGCCATATTCAGAATAATGCCTCAAGCTTTCCACAGATGTGTGACTGACCACAGTATTACCATACCTACAAGCAAGTCACAATGGAAGGCAGAAGCTGTGTTGGGATTAGCTGCTAAACTGCCTGAGGTTGCACCAGAAAGCACCCAGAAGCTGTTTCAACAAAAGTTAACATTTTTCTCAC